TTTACTATAAGTTTATTAATAGTACTATTAATTATTAATTCTTATAGCTATAGTTATATATTTATAAATACTTACTAGTTTATTCTTCTTATAGAGTTCCTTTTAGACTTCTTCCTTTAGTTTATTAAAATAATAAAATATAGTATATTCCTAGTTCTATCTAGTTTTTACTAAAAGCTAAAGATATCTACTACTAAAGATAGAGATAGATCTAGTTTAAGAGAGTTTATTAATTTTATATTTAGCTTTATATCTCTTATCTTAGATTCTAAAGATTTATTAAAATATTTCTATAAAATAATTAAAACTTATTATAATATTAATAGTTTATTAGCTTTCTTAACTATTAAGATATTCTTTTATAATAGATTTAAACTAATTAAATATAGCTCCCTTAAATTATAAATAGATATATATAACTTACTATTTATTATTATTAAGAGTAATAGGAAAATAATTAAAATATACTTAGAGTTAAGTTATAAAACCTTAAAGTTTATTTTAAATTCTATTAAATATCTTAGATAATAATAGCTTAAATAGTACTCCTAGCTTCTTTTCTTAGACTATAGTCTAAGCCTAAGTTTAAAGATTAATATTCTAAGTAGCTTATTACCCTATAAGAGTAATAGTAATAGCTATTTCTTACTATATAGTTATAAGATATTCCTAAAGCTAAAGGATCTAGACTTATAGGAGCTTAAGCTTAGTATTATTATTTCTATTATTACTACTATTACTACTATCTTTATCTATAGTATTATTATTATTTAGAGTAGATAGATTATTAATATAGAGTTCTATTATTAAGCTGGAGAAACTATAGTAGTTATAATATCTTCTTTATTATTATATAGTAATTAAGATAAGATAATTAGCTAAATAAGAGTTATTAATATATAATAATTAGATAACTTATACTAAATAGGGTCTAGAGTAGATTAGGATTAAACTAATTAGAGTATTATTCTAAATAGTATAATTAGATTATTTTAAACTATATAATATAAGTTACTATTAATATATAAGTATTATAAAGCTAGTAATAATAGATATATAGATAATTATATTAATAACTATCTAAGAGAGTATTCTATCTAGTAAAATAAATATATATATATACTAGAGGATTATTAATACTTAGTAATAATCTATTATTCTAGATTATTAGAATTATTATAAAATCCTAATAATCTATTAGTAATTAGTTAGAAAAAGTAGAGTAATCTATATAACTTTAATATATAATAATATAATTTATAATAATAGGTAGTAATATTATTACTTACTAACTTACTTTAAAGTTAAATAATTTTATTATTATAGATCCAGCTATTAAAAGAAGCTATAATATCCTGCTCAGGCTGACTAGTAACTAGTATATATATATTAATTAATTTATTATAGATACTCTTAATCTAATCTAGTAAGGATTTTAAAGAGTATAAACTACTATATCTCTCAAATTTATTCAGTATATTAAAGATAATATAAGTCTCCCCAGCTTTTATCAGTATATATTATAAAAGCTTATCTAGTAATAAAGTATCTAGCTATCTTATTCTATTTCTAAAGATAGAACAGACTGTATTAACTTTACTACAAAGACTGGTATATTTGGAATATAGCTGAAATATAAGCAAACGGATAGTATTTTCTAGTAATCTTTTCTTAATATCATTAAAATTAAAGAAGAAGTATAGAACCCTGGGATTAGAGTTAGCAGGGTTAAGATCTGTAATAATGGTAGAACTGAGGATGGTCTTGCTGCACCCGGGGATACCATTAAGCTATACTAGCTTGCATTATTGTGGACTGTAGTCGATGCGATGTCTTACAATATCAGGCAGCAGTGGACACAGCTCCTTGATCAATATAGGAAGACGATGAGCGCTTTCTGTCTCATTAAAACGCCGCTAGCCGTCCCTTCCTTGATGGCAAAGTGCGAGGCTATCTCGGCACCTCGAAAAGTATGATATTTTGGTAAGAGGCTAAAAACCGGGTGGTAGAGTGTACATAGAATCATTATATTTGCAGAGAGTGGCGAATGGGGTATTTTGATATTTAATTTCCAACAAGAAACTAGTCAGCTTTGTAATATCACCAGTGACAAGGATGAACAATACTAGAGGCTTTAACCTGTGGAAGATGGGAATGCATACGTAACGACTCAAGTATTATAGCTTCTCTTTAGACCATAATGTAATACCTTGGTTATTTAATCATGACTTTCGGGGGCGGCTACGGGGGCGTTTTGTAGAGTCCTTGTTATTACTCTTCTTTCCTTGTCTATAACTCTTTGTAGCCTTATTAGAAACTCCAGCTTCCTGTGCGAGCTGAGTAGTCTGGCTCCTAGTTCTCTTATCTCCTTTCCATCGATATATCTTTAACTTCTTCTACTCCTTAATTAACTCTCTTATATTTATATAGTTCTCCTCTGGTATAGGTATTAGTTTCTACTCTACTATATAGTATAGCTTCCTATTAATTAACTCTTTACCTATAATTTTAATAGCTTCCTATTTACCTTTAGATATTTTATTTACTACTAGAGGGATAGGAGGATCCTCTACGGACAGACTTATACTAATATACTTATTCCTTACCTCTGTATTATTATTCTAGAGACTAGCTATCTTAATATTTATCTGAGTAGCAGGAGCTAGGTATAGTACCTTAATAGAAAAGTTTATCAGGGGATCAGTAGTTTTATTATATATAGGAGCAGGATCTGACTTGATTTATATATATAATAGCTCTTTAGTAGCAGGGGGCTTATTATTATATATATCTTTCTTAATAATATTAATTAATATATTAGGACTGCTATTAGTAGGTACTAAAAAAGTTATATCCAGAGTCTACAGAGGCCTACTATTATTAATATTCTAATCCTAATTTATATCTTTATTAATAATAATAGTATAATCTATAGTTTTCTATTAGCTCTAGCTTTTCAGGTTCTAGAATAGAACTAGTATATACTGTAAGACTTACTACTAATTTCAGAATTACTATCTGTCTGGATATAGGAAGTTAAACTAGTTATAATATCTAGCGAAGTAGAAGTACCTAGTATGCTTAGCTTGACGCTAGTATTACTATTTGGCTGTTTAGCTTTCTATAGCTCTTTAATTAATAGGAGCTTATCAGATAAGCTAGAAATCTTATCTTTTTTTACTTCAGTTAGTATATAACTTACTTCTATACTGGACCTATTTCTTATACCTATAATCTCTTTAATAGTCTCCCCAGTATACTGGGGAGGCTATATACTATCTAAGTCCTCAGCTGTATTTAGGATTTAGATATAGTTCTAAGGTAAAGAAACTATATACTATTACCTCTTTAACTTTTATAGTATAAGCTGCAGAGGTATATATAGTTTAAACTTAAGAGCTATTATAAGAGTCTTAAAAAAAGGGTTATAGGCAGATTTGGGCTAAGAGCTAGGATATTTAGGATCAAAGTAGTATAAGATACTTAGTCTAGTATAAAAGTTAATAGCAGATATAAAGCTAGTATAATTTATAATAGAGAAAGGCCTCCTTTTATAGACTAATTCCCTGCTTTACTCCCTTTCCCTCTAATAATTAGAGTAGTTAAGGATATAGAGCTTAAGCTATCTATCTAAAAATAAATTATTATAAATACGGGCTGCTCGGGTTACTTCCCCTGGCTTTCCTATATTAATTATTACTACTTAATAAAATAAGATAAGCTTTATACAGTTAGGGAGATTAAGGGGCTTAGCTAACTATATATTAAGGCTTACTACTCTTAAGACTACCTGGGTACTAGGTTAACTAATATAAGTATATAACCAGATATAGTAAATAGCTTAGCTAGTAAGCTTATTTACTCTATAGTAGTAAAGTAGTAAATATCCTGATTCTATTCTTATATTATCTTATATATAGCTAACTTATATATAAGCTTATCCTTTAACTAGCTTACTTATATCTCTTACTATATATTTATATATCTCTGAGGTAATAAAAGATAAGTAGCTTTAAAAAATATCAGAATTAGAATAGTTCTTCTACTGAGCCTAGTATTTCAGCTAGCAGGTAGAGAATAATAAGGTAGGGATATATATATCCCCTTCTTATCCTATAGTAACTAATACTAAGATACTTTATTAACCCTATCGGGCTATAGCTTTAAAGCAGGTAACTATATTATCCTTTAGTATTTTAAGAATATTATCAGAAAGAGTAGTATTATTATAAGCTAGGTCTAATATAATTAAGTTAGAGTTCAGTATATAGTACTTTAGCTACTATAGGTAATATACTATTATACTCTGCTTAGAATATCTAGCTATACCTAGAACTACTATATAATTATATTTAAGGTAGATTTAATATTATTAGCAGTCTAAAGGAATTTATAGTATATAAAAGTTTAATAGTCTATATAAGCTGATAATAGTATACTCTTTACTTAGTAATAATAATAATAACAGTCTACCTCTATAAAACTTATACTGTTTATCCTTACCCTAGCTCTATCTTCCTAATATATATACCTTCTAACTCAGATAAAGGAGTTAAGATAATAGGGAATTATTAATAGTATAGCTACCCCTTGATTAAGGAAACCAGATATAAGGTAGAGGCTGAAACAGACTATTAGCTAAGCCCGGAGGAACTAAAAATATCTTACTTCCTTATAGCTAACTCTATCCCTATCTAAACTCTCTTATCTTATATCGAGAGCTAATAACTTTTACTTATAGATCTGCTTAAGAGGTAATCTATTAACTCTTATAGTATAGAGATAAGATAGTAAATATACTGTACTACTTAATTATCTAATATATAATCTCAGCTAGTACTAGCTATCTAAAGATTATTATACTACCTTTAGGAATAACTTTTAATATATTAGTATAGCTATATAGTAAGATAGTATTAAATACTTAACTAGATTACTACTTTATAAATAAAGAAGTAGAATAATTAAGGCCTCTAGTATATTATTAAGAATATTATATAAATAATAACTGTAGGAAATAGAGATAGTTTACAGATTGGATACTAATAAATATAAATATACTATTTATATTATAGTTAGGCCTAAGGGTAGTAGGTATATAATAGCAAGATCAGAAAATAGGAGGGAAAAAGAGACTGTAGAGGTATATAGAAGGGGCAGTAGGGGACTAGCTGCTTTATAAGCAGTATAAAAGCAGCAAGTAATAACAGGGCTGAAGATTTCCTGATATAGTAATTACCTAAATTAGCAGGCTGAACCCGCTATTTCCAAAGGCGGGCAAGCCGTGCTATCTTTTACTAATAATAAAAAATACTTAGTATAAAAAACTCTAGAAATAATATTTAAAAAAATAGTATATATTAAAATCTAGATAGAGATTATCTTTAGTTTAGAAAAACTATAATAAGATATTAAAAAAGTATTTATTAAAGAAATCTATAAATACTTATTTTTAGAATATTAAAAAGTTAAAAAAATATTTAATAGAATTAAGATAATATTATAATTACTTAGATCTATAAAAAAAATATATAAACTATAATTTTAAAATATAATACTTATATATAAATTAAATCTATATAATATAAACTTTATAGAAAATTAAAACTAGTTATAATATTAAAATAACTATAGTAATTAATATTCTTTAATTATATTATTAAACTATTATTATTAAAAGAACTTATAATTAAAATAGAATATAATAATATTCTAATAGTTATTAATAGATTTATAAAATATAAATATTTTATTCTATATAAAAAAATAAGTTTTATAGAAGATTTTATATATTAGTTTTTATAATATATAATTAGTTATTATAAACTATTTAATAAGATTATATTAAATAGAGAAATAATATTTATCTTTAAGTTTTAATAATTATTTATAATATAAATAAATACTAAATATAAGCTTTTAATAGTTTATTATCTATAGAATAATAATTAAATAGAATAATTAAATTAAACTCTAAAGTAATATTTATAAATATATATTAATTATAAGTAAAATAATTAGATATAACTATTACTAATAGTATAGATTACTTATAATAGTTTAGTATAAGAATCTATCTAGCTAGCTAATATTTATATATATAAATTATAATTATAAATTATAATTTTAAAATTAATTAGAACTTAATAGATCTAATATACTAGCTATTATATTAATAAAAGAAATACTATATTTATTATATATAGAAATAAAAATAGAACTTAAATCTATCTAAGAAAGAATAAAAAAATACTATAATAAAACCAGATTAGAAAAACTAATCTTAGAGAAGAGAGATAAGATCTACTTACTTTATAAAAATATTATAATAATAAAACTAAATAATAAATTAGATTATAAAAAATTTAAATTATTTAAAATTCTTAAAAAAAAATTAAATACTAACTATAAACTATTATTATTAAATATAATATATATCTATCTAGTTTTTTATATTTTATTATTTAAAAAAATATTAAAAAATATACTAAATTAGAATTATCTAATTAAGATCTATAAAGAAGAATTTAAACTAGAAAAAATCTTAAAAAAAAAATTAAAAATAAATAAATCTTTTATCTAATTAAATAGAAAGAATATATAGATAATAATAATATATAGAAATCTATTAAATATCTAAAGAAGTATTAATATTTAATTTACTAGTTCTATTAGAAAGAAAAAAAAAATTAAATTAGAAAAACTCTTTTTAAAACCTAATAAGTTTAAATCTATTTTAAAAGTAATTTCTAAGAATTAAATCTTCTTTAGAATATATTATTTAAAAACCTTAAGAAAATTAAAAGCTTAATCTAAAAATAGTTAATTTTTTTTATTAAGCTCTTAAAAACTATATTAAATTTTCTATTAAATCTTACTTTTAATATATTCTTATATTTTATAGATATACTAAATATATTCTAAAGTAATAGAAAGATTATTCTAAAATTAAGTTATTTATTAATATAATAGAAGAATCTTCTTATCTATATTAGATTTCTCTTTAGCTAGTTTCTTCTATTATATTATTAATTTTTCTATTAAAAGAAATAGAATTAAAAGAAGAATATAGGAAAAAAGAATATAAAGAATATTTATAATTAGATATAATTAGTACTCTATTATAATAATAACTATTTTATATATACTTATTATATTAGAATAATTTTCTATTTAAAAAAATAAAATATTCTTTCTTTATTTAAAAATATAGAGTATATAGTATATTAATTAGTAATTTAAATATTTAAATAATAATAGTAAGAAGAACTTATTTATAAGTTTTAGAATATACTAGCTTTTAAATATAGTTAGATATAATAAATATTATAATATAGCTATTATATATAAAGAGAGAAAGAACTTATTAAAATTATATAAGATTTTAAGAATAAAAGTAATAAAAGTATTATACTTCTATTATAGAATATAGTTAGATTACTAGAAGTAATATATTTTTTATATTCTATAATTATTATATATATACTTTTATTTTATTAGTTAGAATATTTCTTTAGATAGTTATTAATATAATTATCTATATATCTATTACTACTAACTCTATAATACTTATATATTAATAATAATTTATATTATATAGCCTAAGATAATCTAATTATACTACTTAGAATAATACTCTAATTAGTTTAATCCTGATCTACTCTAAACCCTATTTAGTATAAGTTATCTAATTATTATAATAGAACTTAATCTAGTTTCTTTTTTTTAATATAGTAAATAATTATATATAATAGTTAGATAACTTATACTAAATAGGGTTTAAAGTAGATTAAAGTTAAACTAATTAGAGTATTATTCTAAATAATATAATTAGATTATTATAAACTATATAATATAAATTACTATTAATATATAAGTATTATAAAGCTAGTAATAATAGATATATAGATAATTATATTAATAACTATTTAAAAAGAGTATTTTATCTAGTAAAATAAATATATATATATACTAGAGGATTATTAATATTTAGTAATAATCTATTATTCTAAATTATTAGAATTATTATAAAATTCTAATAATCTACTAGTAATTAGTTAGAAAAAGTAGAGATAGTCTATATAACTTTAATATATAATAATATAATTTATAATAAAAGAGTTCTTATAATAATTAGAAGATATTATATTTATTCTCTTTTTATTTAATTATTTTAATTTATAGATTAAAATTAATTTAAATTACTTAGAGTTTAATTATATATCTTTTTATTAAGATCTCTATTTATATTAAAAAAAAAATACTATAACTATTAATAAGCTTAAAATATAAATTATTAACTATATTAAAATCTAATAACTTTCTATAATAACTATAAAAAGAAGATTTTAAGTTTTATATATATTTTTATTTAATTAAATAGTTTATATTTATAACTAGTTAATTAATCTATTATAGCTATTATAATATAGCTAAAAGATATATCTTTTATAAGAGAGGATTTTTAAAAGTAAAAATAAGAAGAGATAAAAAGAATATCTTTTTTCTATAGATACTGAAAAATAGCTAATTTATCTAACCCGGCCAAATTAATAAGTACGCCCCGACTCAGTATATATGGATGCAGTGAGCGAAACAGTTAGTGAACCAGTACAAAGACACGTTGGTAAGGATATGGTCCAAGTCGGGATCCTCCTCAGTCCAATCAAGCATCTTCTCACCGATCCTGAGAATTCCGTTAGTGCTTGGCCGTCATATATTTATAAGTATGCGGCAGAATGCCACCGCTTACCAGGCCAAGAGGGCAATAGGGTTCGACGAGACGACAGCAGCAACAGTCGAAGGCTTCTTGATTTGCAGCATAGCTGCACCGGCCGTTACGGAGCTGCGCTTAATAGCGCTCTGCACAGCCCCCTTCTCAGTGTCGTTAAGAATGGGATCCTCTGGGCTGGTAGCATCCAGGGTTGGGAGTAAGTTGACTGTTTGGTTTAGCTGTTCGTTCACATAGGGCGAGGGACGAGAAGGATCACTGACGATGTACTTCAACCACCGAATCATGATTCGTGCCCATCATCGTCGCAATGAGACTTCCAACGTCTCCGCCCTGTACAATGTACTTGTCGAAGCCGAGATTTTTGATAGTCTGGTCAATCACTCGCGCTGTGTCATCGGCCACCCACTCCTGGTCTTCCGGCAGAGACAAACTGAGCGTGTAGCCCGGCAAAGATGGTACAATGAAGTGGTACGGCAGTGTGTCTGTCGTGTACTTCTTGCGGACAAGTTCCAACACGGGCAAGAACTCCAAAAAGCTCCCGGGCCAGCCATGTAAGAGCACAATTGGAATTGCTTGAAGATCCTTGGAGAACAAAGCGGCAAAGTGTACAGTCACGTCACCTTTCGGGTGGTTGACCAGCATTCGATAGTTTGGGGAATTGTTAATGTAGCTTTCTTGAGCCCGCTAGTCGAATTTCTCGAGCCAGTATTGTTTAGTCGAGACAAGCCATTCGTGCGTAATGTCGTATTTACGGCCTTGGTGCTGGTTCTCCCAAGTTTTCGGCATAACCCGGGAGAGCTGTAGGAGTTGGTTCAGCTGGAGGCATTCATCGTCCCCAACGTGTAGTGTGAAGGGTACAGCAGGCTCCAGGACCGAATAAGCCATATTTAGAAGAAAGGGTAAGAACAAATGGTAAGGAAGATGACTGAGTAGTGTAATCGGGTAAAAGAAGCAAGAATAGGAATTGAGGTTAGAGAGGCAACCGCCAGGATGACCCACCCTATATGATTGATGACGGATGTATCTGGGTGTGTGACTCACTATGAGTTGGAAAAGGGTGCATCATAATAAGTGGTCGCTATAGTGCCAACCGGTTGTAGAGGCTGCCTACCGTTCAATACAAAGATTCTACGCGCAGACTACGCTGTCGCTGGTGCAGTCTGCAGCGACGATATTGTGGTCCGGGATTTCGGGATGATCAGCATCCCTTTTCCCTCTATCATGGACTATGAGATTCCAACGTTTGAGGCAGATCTCAAGTTTAACGATCTTGATGACGAGGCCACTGCCGAAAACACTGCGTATGCCGTGTGGATCGGTGGAAACTATCTCGGGTCCTTCAGCACAGATTCCACAGTCAAAGGTACCACCCTCTCTATTATTGTCGATTGCGTCTGGTCGGCGTTTGATCGCATCTACCAATCTGGCGGCCGACACTTTGTCTCGCTCGTAGCTCTACCCTTTCACCTCGCCCCCATTTACACGCCCATCGAAGAAGGCGGAGTCGGCGATTTTATGATCTGGGAGAACAAAACGGCATACAACGTCACAATGACCAAGTACAAGATGAAAAACTACCTGACAAGTGTCAACACCATGCTTGATTATGGCCTAGCCGTTCAGCAGCTCATTGAGAAGCGATGGCCTGGAGCAACCTTCACATGGATCGACATGCACAGCCTTGTCATGGAAATGATCGCCTCGCCCGCAGAGTATTTTGAGCAACCGGCCAATGTTACTCATGCTTGGCAAAACTGCAAATCTTTCGGTCACTGCATTGACAAAGAGGGTCTGCTAAGGGAAAGCTTTGTGTGGTTCGATGAGCTTCACCCCTCGCAGCGAGTTCGTAAGTGCTTTTTATTGTTCTCAAGTTCATTGACTATCATGCTTACTTTTTAAAAGACGAATATCCTGCAGATGAGTTCATTCAGACTCTTGAGGGAAATTCCAATTGTAGTAAAACCTACAGGCTTGTTTATTGCAAGTAGGTTTAGCCTCCTATTCTTTTATCCCAAGGTAAATTCAAGTGTTAGCATTATCATCATAACGGGGAATTTAAGAGACAACTTAAATTAACTGTCTAGCTGCCTTCCTAGACCTTAAGTTTAGTAGACTTTGTTAAAGTCTGGCTAATGATTGATTGAAAAGCGTTTAACTCTTCTTATGCTAGGTACTAAAATTACTTACCCTCTTCCTATAGCTACCAATAGATGTAATTGCCCTATGTCTGAGAAGTCTCCAGCTACCTTTCTACTGTCCCTTGATGATATCTGCCGCCTTTTCAGCAACAGCATAGACAGCCGACATGTTGTTTCCCCGGGGAACAGTAGGGAAAATACTCGCATCAACGATACGTAGGTTCGTTGTGCCATAAACCTTGAGCTTCGTGTCAACCACGCCGCCCTTCTCCTTGGGCAACATCACGGCCGTACCGCAGGAGTGGTAAGTGGTTGTGGCGGTGTCTAGAATGTAGCGTTTGGCACCCTCCAGTGTGCCGATGTGATGAGAGTCTGGGTGATTGCGCTTGCCGTCCGGCTTCAGATATGCAGAGAGCTCCTTTGTATGACGCAGCTCTTCAATTGCCATGAGGTGGCGGGCAAAGACTTCGAGGTCGGCAGGGTGTGAGAAGAACTTGGGATCAATCTTTGGCATGGCAGCGGCGTCGGTGGAGGTGATGTGTGAGTTGCCTCGCGAGAAGGGATGCGAGAGGAAGCAGCCGAGACTAGCAAAATTCTGGGGAAGAAGGGTGTCTCCAACGAAGCTCTTGGCGCCCTCGTGGAGGTTCGCCTGAGCCAAGAACATAAACCAGGTGGCCGTGGCCTCATTGGGCCTCTCGTGGATGGCCCTGACTGTTTCAATGAACTCCTTGTCTTCCGACTTGACGGGTGTATTATCAAGAATCTCGGCTAAGTCGTAATCAATGGGCATCAGAGCGTTCGACTGGGTGCCACCGAAACATAGAGGTCCTTTCTGTTCTGCATATAGCTTCTGGGCGGCCTCGAGAGCAGAGGGTTCTTGCCGCATCAAGGGATCACCAGTGACAATACCTTCGTTAACCTCGTAGCTAACGCCGGTCATGAGGTGATCCTGGAGGTTCTCACCGACCCCTGGAATTTCCAGGAGCTGCTTGATGTTGTGTTGTTTGAGAATCTCACTCTGGCCAATGCCTGAGATCTCCAATAGTTTAGGTGTGTTGAATACACCAGCAGCGAGAATCACCTCCTTGGAAGCGTGGAAGGTCTGAACCTGACCGTCTAAGACAGCTTCGACCCCTGTGGCATTGAGACCGGCATCTGACTTGTCAAACAGAATCTTTTGGGCCAGAATTCCGGTAATCACCCGGACATTGGGCCTCGCCTTTAGAGGAGCACCGTAAGCTGAGGCTGCGTAGCTCCGAGTCTTGGTGTCCTGGTCGACAGTCGCGCCATTGCTGTAGCCACCCACAGCGACGCCAGAGAAGGGATCTATGCTTTTGAGTTAGCTTTGTTCTATTGCTGAGAGCTTGGACTGTTCACTGGATTCAGGCCTACCATCGGAAATGGTCTTGTTCATGCCGCGGAAAGCATCAACCCAAGCCTTGATGAGAGGATTCTCTTTGGAACCAGGGAAAGAAATCTTCAGAGGACCGTTGGAGCCGTGGAGATCTTTCTTGAGCCACTCTAAGCCTAGGTGATCCGATGTCTCTTGATCGACTGGAAGCTGGAGACTGAAGGGCTTTCTAACGTAGTGACCCATTGAGTCCCAGCCCCAGCCAGGGTTGCCGAGGGAGGCCCAAGAATCGAAATCAGCAGCACTAGGAGCGACATACGTCTGGCCGTTGACGGCCGTTGAGCCACCAAGAACTTTTCCCTGGGGCTCTCTGATTGACCGCCCCCCCATACCAGGCTGGGGGGTGGACTGGTAGTGCCAGACGGCATCGGACGACATAAGAGTCGTCCACAAGGCGGGGATATTGACACGGGGGTCGTCACTCATGTCGGCCCCGGCCTCGAGAATGACTATGCTAGTCTCAGGGTTCTCGGACAGACGGTTAGCGACGACCAGTCCGGAGGTGCCACCGCCCACAATAACGTAGTCAAAGGTCTGTTGGGAAGCCATGATGAACGAGAATAAATCAAATTCTGATGTGTTGATGTGGAGTGGTGGAGATGGACAAGGCAGAGAAAGCGGACTGATGAACTTGACGCGTTGACGTTTATATGATCTTGGGACTACTCACTTCACCATCCCGCTGTCGGAATAACGGCTCTGGCTAATGGTCGCTGTTGGTTGCAGTGTTGGCTGATGCTCATCAGTTACAGGGATCTCAGGCATAAGTCGTAGTAGTGCCGGGCGAGGCGTACAGGCCCCCACGTAGTAGGACCTTTTGCAATAGGATGGGATGGAACAAACAACATTAACAAAGTCCATTGGCGCATGATGCAGGATGCTGACTACATATACGGAACTGCAGTTGGCACCCCTCTTTATGCACTCTTTCTACTCCACTTCACGGCTCGCCGCCGGCATGTCACCGAGCGGCCGCCGAGACAATAACGTCGTAGTGGGAACCAAAGTCTATTGTGATTTTCTACTCGACAGAGGAGACCCTCCTCATGCCATGAGGGCAGCTCTAGATGCTGTGTGTATCAAGGGCAACAAGTATATTCTGACCATCCACATATTCCATACCCAAAATGTCTTTCTATCTGCTGGCACACTTCTGAAAAAATAAGCCTCACGGCTATAGTGAGTCCTGGTAAAAGGCACATACTTGCTCCCAGGAGTGAGGTGCCAATGCAGAGAGGGCAGAAGACGACCCAAAACATGACTGTGATGGCAGTGACCCAGCGACCACAGGTGTCGCCCAATACTAGTGGGAGTGTACGACGACCCCGTGCAGCGTCGCCTTCTTGGTCGTACATGTCCTGGGTCTGGACGGTTGTGGCTATGACCGCGGCAATCATGCCGTACCAGAGCAGCAGATTATGATTTGGAGTAGACCCTTTAACCATAACCTCCAAGGCGCCGGTCGTGAACCTATTGAAGCCAGCGGCATTGATCAGGTTACGGACCACACAGCTGGCATCTGAGCCTTTGAGATTGTTGTACCAGAAGCCGAGCATCATGAGAGACGGAAGCAAATGGCCAAAGTCTTCTTGGGTCCCCCTGCTTGCAGCCATCTCCAAGATGATTCATAGGGTGCCCAACGACCTGCCTGCCATCACATGGATACCTGTCGAAGTCGCAGCCAAGGCCGTCTCTGAGGTGGCTCTGCTGCACGACATCCAAAATTTGCCTCAAGAGGTTGCGCCACCTAGAGTTTATCATGTCATGAACCCGAAAGCTGTCGATTGGGCGGCATTCGTGCTGGCTTTTAAGAATTGCAACTCCAGCAGGGAGTTGAAGGATGTGCCTTTCGCAGAGTGGACTGGTCACCTCCAGCAGGTGAACCCAAGCTCCATGTCGGAGCAAGATGCGGTTATAATCAAGAAGTCACTCCCATTCTTTGAAGAACTTTCTGAGACGATCACACGAGGACTGAGCATGCAGCCAGGCTATGAGTTAGGTAAAACAATCGTGTCCAGCAAGGCCCTAGCGAATGCAGCAGCTGTTGACAACGTTTCACTTTGTCTATGGATGAAGCAATGGAATATCTAAGAGAATCATATCTTCAATTTGTTTAGTAACAATAACTAGCTTCGAGATTTCATAATATTTACTTAAGAGATTACATCTACCCCGTACATGACTTGGATCTACACTTGAACGGATCTTATCCGCGAGTTCTGCGTGCCGCGCCGCGCAATGTAACCAAGCACTTTCGTCGCAGGCATTGGTCTTATCTTCAACATAAGTCTACTGCTGTACTGGCAAGACATGGCTGGAGTAATAAGCGCACTTTCAGAGTTATTTGTTGCGAGTTTACTGGCTTAAATCTTGTCAATATACTAAACCCACTCCGAATATCTATCTCAGCTATCCAAGTACATCCGCTCATCTTATAACAACCAGAGTGATAGAGCCAGCTATCGCCAGAATAAATATCTGCAAATAATTCACCGACCCAGAAGCGACCACTACACCTTCTGGTGCGGGAGGATATGTACTTTTCTGTTCTTGCTTTTCACCAGGGAACTCACCAGGGAACTCACCAGGGAATTCACTAGGTAATTCACTAGGTAATTCACTAGGAAGTTCACTAGGTACCTTTGTCATAACAGGAGCTGGGCCGTGTGGGGAAGCTTCTGCATAGCCTGTAGGGTTCGGCATGTTGATCTCGTCCACGGCCCCTTTGGTCTCTTGGGCCATGCCCTCGCGGGTCGTAACGGCAGGATACGTGGTTTGATCATTCGCCTAATGCTTGGTTAAGAATTCCCAAAATCTGGTAGAAAACTGAAGAAAGCACACACTGTCGAGGTATAGTGGTACACCGGACTAGGCTCCAGCACTATCAACTTATTTCCTGGGGTTAAAGTCGTAAAGCTTTTGCTCTCCTGTAAACAAGTTTGTGACTGTGCCGCGGGGGCGCTCGTAAAAGAGGATAGATGTCTTTCACAGGAATGACAGTTGATTGCATAGAGTGCTCCATCAGTGGTGAGTCCGTCGTATTTCGCTGTGCCAGCGATGGGAGCCACATTGACACCGGCAGCAAGGAGCTTAGCTTCACCACCGCTGCCTGTTATCCCTGCATCTTTCACTCTTCCTGCACTATCCACGCCAGGAAATGCTGCAAGCCCTGAAGAATGAACAACTGAATCATCCAACATAAGTCCTTGGGCTATGTGAGCTTCGGACTCGACATTTCCAAGCAGAGCTTCGGGGGTTGGTGATGGCACTGATTGGGGCAAGACAAGATCAGTGTTCATACCGCTCGTGATGATGAAATCCCCCGGATTGTCATTCGAATCCAATCTTGGGGGCCTTG